ACAAAATGAGCATCCTATTCTTCTACAAGATTGTCAAATTCTTGTATTCCACTATCATTATTATATTGCTTGTCATCTTCTTCAACTTCTTCTTCTTTATCAACTAGGGACAAAGTAGCTGCTTCTTTTCCCTTCCTCTTCCTCTGTGAAATTGAAGTTGAGGTACTCCCCCTCAAACCATAAATCCTCTCCCCAATTCCATGCGCCTCCGCAACATCACCCCAAGTGAAATAAGAAGTTTCCTCAAATACTTCTTCATCTGCATTATCTTTCGGGACTCCAGTTAGCCATTCATTAGCATCATCGATGTTGTCCAAACTAATTGAATCAATTACATTGCGAGCGTTGTAACGACGCCTCAATGTTCTATTGTACTTAATGAAAACTAGATCATTGAGACCCTTCAAGGTTAGTTTGTTCCTCTTTTTTGTATGAATCTGCAAATAATAAGTAATTAGTAAGATTAGGACAATTGAGATATAATTTAATTATCTCAATATACTAAATCTTTCTTCTTAGTTCTTACATGTTCAAACACGCTCCAATTCCTTTCACACCCGGATGCGCTACATGTTAGACTTAGAACCTTGATGGCAAACTTTTGTAATTCTGGAGTGGAATGGCGATATTGCTTCCACCATTCAACTGTAGAAGTAGAACAAATATTCAAAACATAATATTGATAAAGAAATAACTTATTAACTATAAAGCAACATATAAGCACTCGCTCACCTGGTGACTTCATCTTTCTTTGTCTAATTGCTATGTTTTTCCAAAAAGTTGCTCGGCATTCCTATAAGTACTAAATTGCTCTGTTATTTTATCTTGCACGGATAAATCAGGTATCAACTTCTCAATACATTCAATGTATCCCTTTCACAATTCTTCATCTCCAAGAATCCTCTCTTCATTGTCATAAAACAGTTCCGGGTTCAAAACAAGTCCAGCTGCATGCAAAGGGCGATGAATCTGACCGTCCCACCTTTTATCTATGATCTCAAAGACTCTTTTGTATTTTCTTTGATCACTAAAAGAGTCTTGAATTGCCTCATTTGCCCTATCCATTGCTTCGTAAAGGTAGCCCATTGGTGGCCTTTGCTCCTCATCCACCAAACGAAGCACTTTAACTAAAGGGCCACCAATCTTCAATGCATGAACCACATTGTTCTAGAATGTAGTAGAAAGTATAATATCTGCAGATTCTTTCCCTCGAGCTTCCCTTCCATAGGCACTGTTAGTGTACTCATCTGAAACAAACAACTTCTTCAAATTGCTTTTTTGCTCACACATCCTATGCAAAGTCAAGAAAGCGGTAGCAAATCTTGTCTTTGCAGGTTTCACCAAGCTTCTTTGTTTAGTGAATCTCTTCATCATATTCAACAACAAAAACCTTTGAACAATATAGGAATGCACTCCAATTGCTTGATTAAAGACTGAACTGAAGGGTCTCTCCTTGAAAATGTCACCGTAGATCAAATTAATGCAATGTGCTTCACACAAAGTTCAATAAATATACGAGTACCCTACAGACATCAAATCACCAGCTTTAACATTTTCACTGGCATTGTCCGTGACAACTTGAGCAACATTTTCTGCTCCAATAGAGTCTATTGTACTCTTGAACAAGGAGTACATTTTGGTTGAATCAGTAGAAGAGTCGCTTGCATCAACGGACTCAAGAAACAAGCTTCCCTTAGGAGAATTCACCAAGATATTGATGATCATTTTTTCATTTCTTGCCGTCCACTTATCCATCATAATGGAACAACCAAACTTGTTCCATTCTACTTTGTGCTCATCCACGATTTTGTTAGTCTCTTCCACTTCTTTTTTTCGATATGGACCTCTAACTTCATGATAAGTTGGAGGCTTCATTCCTGGACCATATTGGCATACGGCCTTAATAAAAGCAGAAAAGTGTCTGTATAATTAACACAATTAAAAGGAAAACCTGCATCATACATTCACCGCGCAAACATTGTAACTGCACGATCCCTCAAAATCGCTTTGGCAGCAATTTAAAGATTAACACTTTTTCCTCCCTTATCTTTTGCTGGAAATAACAATCCATAGGACCTTTGGTCTTGCCAGTGGATCCACAACTAGAAGACATTGTTTGCATCCTTCCCCGTTTTTGTGATTTTGATGGAAGCGACGAAGCTTCGTCACCTTCTTCTATTTCATCATCGTCATCATCAAGATTATACAGTTCTTGTTCATGAAGCATTTGAGTCTTTAACTCTTTTTTTTTTTGAAGGAATGCTTTCAATTCTTCCTTCACATGCGACGGAACTTTAGGACAAGATGCGACATTTGGATCACCACCGATTAGATGCGCTTTTTGACGATAGATTCCCCTATTTGAAATCTTGTCACAAAAAAAGACATCTAATTGTCATCTTGTTGGTCTCGCTAACTCTTGCAGAATAAGCCCAAGCCGGGCCTTTCCTATCTTCTTTTGGTGCCATTAAAAGAACAACTACATAACATATAAGAAAGGCAATAAGAAATATGAATAAAGAATATAAAAATAAGAGGAAGGGCAGTATACCATTCCAGTAAAAAATGGGCAGCATTTCAAACGAAAAGAAAAAAATGGGCAGCATTCCAGAAGAGAAGAATGAGACAGAAGAACTGAAGGGGAAAAAAGAATTCGCCAGCATTTTGTTGCTATTTGGACGCTGACAACAGTGCAAGAAAATGAAAAAGAAGAAGAGAAGAATGAGACAGAAGAACTGAAGGGGAAAAAAGAATTCGCCAGCATTTTGTTGCTATTTGGACGCTGACAACAGTGCAAGAAAATGAAAAAGAAGAAGAGAAGAATGAGACAGAAGAACTGAAGGGGAAAAAAGAATTCGCCAGCATTTTGTTGCTATTTGGACGCTGACAACAGTGCAAGAAAATGAAAAAGAAGAAGAGAAGAATGAGACAGAAGAACTGAAGGGGAAAAAAGAATTCGCCAGCATTTTGTTGCTATTTGGACGCTGACAACAGTGCAAGAAAATGAAAAAGAAGAAGAGAAGAATGAGACAGAAGAACTGAAGGGGAAAAAAGAATTCGCCAGCATTTTGTTGCTATTTGGGCGCTGACAACAGTGAAAGAAGAAGAAGAAGAAGAAGAAGAGAAGAAGTAGAAGAAGAGGAAGAAGGAGGAGGAGGAGGAGGACTCTGTTGCGTTGCCTCTTTTTTTCTCTGTTATGCTGCTGGTCGATATGTTTTAAAAAAAGAACATCTTTTTTAATTAAATAGGTTGGCAGCCCTTTAAAACAGAGAAGCGCTCGCTTCTTCCGCATCGCTTCGCATCATCGCTTCTCGCTTTTTAGTGGGAAGCGTACCTGCTACGCTTCAGATCGCCTCGCTTCGCTTCTCGCTTTAAGCGAGGAAGCGCCCGCTTTTCACAACACTGGTCATGAGTTTGAACCGTGCCACATACAAGAGCCTAATATTTAAGTGGACAACGGTAGATGGACGAGCTCATTATCCGTCGATTTTCGAACTGTGCGCCACTAGCCCTCCGGCATTTCACGGTTATAAAAAAAGTAGATAGAAACCAAGATCCTTGTGGTGTAAAGCAATAGGTTAATGTTGGGACATATTTATAATAGATAGGCAGATGATAGGAAAGTAGTTTCAATGCAACCTAGCATCTCTGCCTACTTTTTTTTTATGTCGTATCCTCCTTTTTTTTTTGACCTTTCTGCTCTTATTAATATAATTTGTTTCCTTGCACGGAGAAAAAATACATGAACAAGAGTCTAAGGATTAAGGCAAACTGCCTGCAAGCAAATAAGTTTTGCACCTGTCTGTATGTTGGGATGGATTATTAAATCGGAATACTTACTTGGACAAGGAGTAGCTCAGTGGTAATTATTGAAGTGTCTAACCATCTCATCTAAAAGCTTAAGCTCTTAGAGAGAACACACGTTTATTTACTTAATTATGTCTTCAATACGCCCCCTCACATACGGGCTTTAATTCTATTTGAGGATAACATTTCAAAGTTTTAAGGGGAGAATAATTGGCATCCTAATCGACAAAGTGCAACAAAGAGGGAAGTGAGTAGTGGGGAGAAGAAGGGGGGTTAGTGAGACCAAATGCAATAAAAGAGGGACTTGGTGAGTTTGGAGGCAAGGTGATGAAATTAACAGGTGAGTTTGGGAGAGGATTGTGAATAAAGTATACGGAGCTCAAAATAGTTCATGGAATGTAAAGGGATAAATCACCCGAGCAAAAGGTTCATTATCAAGGTGGGGCTGAGGGAGGCAGGGAGCTAGGGGTAGAGTTGGTATGCATCGAAGATACAAGGATGATAGAGTAGGTATTCATCAATATGAGACAAAGATGGATGTACTTTTCAACCAGTTGTTAGAAGTGTGCAAGTGTGTGAAAGGAAGTCGGTCAAAATGAGATGATATCAGCTAGAGCAGATATATGATGAACGAGTACTAAAAATCTATGTTTACACTACTTGAGAATGTTGGCATTAAGGTTGGGTTAGTAAGATCGATGTTGAAAGGAAATTCTAGGATGAAATTGTTTTCATTACGTAAGGATGGGACATAATAAGAGAGTGCAGTAATAATTGGTACACATTTTTATCGACTTTTTGCAAGATAGCACCAAGTCATGTGAGTTTTTTTTTCTCCCTTTTGTTCATTTCCAGGACGGCTTCCCTCATTGCTAGCCAGAAAGAAAATCATAATTTTCTAATGGCTCGAGGAACACACACTAATGAATAATGAAAGTATATGTACATCCTCATCAATAGTCTGTGATCATTATGTCCTTACTATTTTCATATGTCCTGATCCGTTAACGATCAAGTATGCATTTACGCTGGACTCTTCCACCCTATACCAAATAAGTTTTACACCTTTCAGACGAAGATCAACTAAGTGATGGTTATTGAAGAACTCTTAAGGACCTCTCCATTATGCTAGTAAAGGAGACACATCCAAATCTTTCCTTCAAAAATATAATTGTATTAAAGCCTTCTCCGAATACCCAAGAGCATAGATGTGACTCCACCGACACTCATGCTAACAATTTTGGAAGAAAGGAGTCATATAGCTTTTGTATATATATCGTTCATCTTTTTTCTTATGTTGAAAAGCTTTTCGAGCACCTGTGATTCCGATTAGTGTAGATGACGCTGCAATATGTAGAGTGCCATATTTTGTTTTGATTCCCTATTTTTTGATGAAGCACATATGGTTTACTTCCATTTATATCAAGACATATCATATCATACTATATTATAAGTAGGAAGCCCCAAAGTAGAAACTTGAATTACCAAAATACCCATCAAAAATTGAATGACCATTATACCCTTCAAACAAACGTTATTTCTATTACACTTTTGTACAAAAATGTAAAAGTACATTTTAATAAATTTATTAATTTATGAACATCTTTTCACATACAAAAGCTGGAATTTAGATTGTTGAAATCTTTAGCAGCCTTATTTGATTTTGTTGTTATATTTTTGTTATAAAATGATTGGTTGGCTTTTGTGTTATTCTAGTGGTTTGAGTGGTGGTAATTTGTTAATAGTATCTAATAAGCGGGACACTTTGCAAGCAGAAGAAGATCCGTGTAAAAATAAAAATTGAATTGATGACTGTATACAAAAAAATTATATAACATGATACATGAATAGTAAATGTTTATAGTACTATGTATTTTGTTTTTTTGAGGTTGCTTACAATTTTATAAAAAGAACAGCACAAAGACTGTGCAGTTAGAAGTGACAAGATACATACTCCAAGAAAAAACAAAAGATAAGAATCCCCCTAAAACAAGAACTTACAAAAGATTCTATGATAACAAAAACTTACGGGGCATTCTTTACTCCAAAAAAAAAAATAGTACTAAGCAGTTCATTTTTATTCTCTGGATGGAGTTCCTTTCGCCCACAAGAGGTTGAGAGATCCAATATACATAGTAATTGTTAATATTGCACAAACATGATTGCAGATTCCAGAACTTATAAGCTTTCTTGTTAATTTATACTAATTAATATGGGATTGCACGTGTTCGAGAACTAGTTTACTTATAAGAGGAATTGTCAAAAAGTTATAGTACAAATTATTCTTCATTTTTTATAGCAAATGTGTTCTTCTACTTACAAGGTTGATGCTCTTTGGACAACTGTCTCAATAATGTGAAGTTGAATTTTAATTGCCTTGATGATTCATGTTCAAAATATTTTGTGGTGGAGAAGAATCACAAAAGCAATAAAGATTTTTGAGGTTTCTAAGGGACGAATTACAAACTGTGAACAACTGAATTTAACGATGCCATCAATATGTAAAGCTATGAATACTGTGCTATCATAAAGATAAGTTATCAGCATGTAACATTATTGGCTTTCTGTTTTTATTATTTGCAGGTTTGCACGTGTCGGTTCAGTAGTTTTAGCCCTTCATGATGCCAGTGATATATTCCTCGAAATCGGAAAGATGTCCAAATACAGTGGTGCTGAAGCTCTTGCTAGCTTTTCATTTATTCTTTTTGTTTTATCCTGGATTGTACTTCGCCTCACATACTTCCCGTTCTGGGTTCTTTGGAGTACCAGGTGAATCATAGGTGCTTTTTTTCCTACTTTCAAAGAAACTGCTTTCTGTTTTCTTGGCGAACCCTTCATTTCTTGATTTAACCTTCTTAAAAAAGCACCATCTTATATGTTATTCACTGCCTTAAGTTACAATTTGCATTATCATTTGTTGATGATGGAGTTCAAATTAATATAATTCTTTATGCTTTATATCAGCTTTCCCTGCATTGCTTTACGCGCCGGCAGCTAAGTAAGCTGTGTATCAGTGCTCAGTTCTTAATTCAGAGGATTTAATATGGTCAACTAGTTTAGCATTATGGAGTTGTTGATAGATTGATATTAACGCTTAGTTCTCTTTTGAAAACTTCATTTGTGTTTTCTGCAGAAATATGAACTTACCAGTTATTGTTACCCTTTTTGTGAGAAATAGTTGTGTACGAGATTTATGTGAAAGTTCTTTTATTTTTCTGTTAATGCAGTTATGAAGTTCTCCAGACTTTGGATAAGGAGAAACACAAAGTGGATGGACCAATCTATTATTATATCTTCAATTCTCTTCTATTTTGCTTGATGGTTCTTCATATATATTGGTGGGTGTTGATATACCGGATGCTTGTTAAACAAATACAAGCAAGGGGCCAACTGAGTGAGGACGTTCGTTCTGGTAAGTTTAAGAGCCACATGCTTATCTTGAACATCTTGATCTTACATTGTTCACTGCAAATCATGGCTAAAGTAAAGCCATAGCTTAAATTTTATTTCAAGTATTTGCTCCTTGCATGGTGAAAGAGACAGGAAAGTGCAAATGTAACGTTTCCATGCATTTCACTTATTGGTCGAGGGATAGAAATGTAGTTTTGTCCAATTCAGCAATTAGCTTGTGGATATTTTTTTCCTACCTCAAAACATCTACAGTTTCTCTCTGTCCAAACTTTGGAGTCCAAATATGAAATTTTATGATGTTTTTATGTTTTATTTTATGTGAAATAATAAGGTGATGTTTTCATGTTTTTACGGATTAAAGATGATGAAGCGGTTGTAAAGTTGTTTGTGCCCTGCTTTTCTGATCGAAAATTGACATAATAAAGATAATAAGAGTAGAGGAATATGGGATCTAGAACATGCGAGGAAATCAAGTTCTCATTTTCATCTCTTCCTCTTGAATTTCTGACCTAGTAGCACATTTCTAACAGTTCCCGGCATCACCTATGAACACCAAACATTTTCCACGCGCACCATAGTCTATATGCATTAGACAAAGGACTGCAGAGGATTGACGTCCTCTCCTACCTTTTGCACATAAAACACCATATGATCTGAACTCTCGTTCCTTTCTCATGTTCTCTGCATAAAATGGCTTCCCATGTTGCTACCCACACAAAAAATAATATCTGTCCCGGGGCCCTAGGAACCCAATTCATGTATGAGGAAACTCTATGTTTTCTCTCCTTAGAACTCACTATAAGAGGATTTCACTGTGAAAATGCTGTCCTTTGGTCCTTCCCATTTACACTGTTTGTGTCTGTGACTGAGAGATAAGGAATCTTGTTAGTTTTGTGTTTGGAACTTGACTCCTGATGATTTCCAGAACTCCATATAGACCCCTTCCTACTGACCCATAGACTCCCATAAAACCCCAGGCGCTTGTGCTACCCATGCTCTTAATAACTATGACAATGGTGAAATTTCCTTTGGTTATGTCGCAGAATTTATTTCCAATATGTACCTTCACGAAGTTAATCAAATTCTACGCAATGTTCCCAAGTGATCTCTACTATGTTGAGTTGCTTCATCTAAGGAGAATAAATTTTTTATCTACTTTTTAGAACACAATTCAAATAGGATCACTTGGTTTTTGTGCATAGCCTCAAATATCTTCTAGTCCATACCTCTATGTGCATCTATATAGTACTTTTGTTTTAATTAATGTTTATAAGAGTGTCAACACTTTTAGGATTAAAAACATGGAGTTACGAATTGGACTGTTTATACTGCTTCCACAAGCTGGGTTCGATGTGGGATTGTAGAAAACATGTTTGCGCACGTCCATGTCTGCAAAGTATAGAAACAGGAACTTCAAAAACTTATTCTGTCATTAATAAGCAGTGACACATTTCAAAGCTGTATATTCATTCTGGCCTGGCAGATGATACTAGCAATAACATCCCATACGAAGAAAAGAAGTATCCATTTTTTCAACATATGTTTATTCTAAGCCCTATATTTACCTGTGGACACTGACTTATTTTGCTTCTGTTGTTCACTTTCTAGAGCTCATAGCGAGTTTTCCTTGCTCTAGTGGTCAATGGTGTAAGGTCTTCCCATTAAAATGTTATTGGTCATAGCAGTTAAAGAAACTAAATGGCTCCTTCAGTGGAGCAAACTGTTTTTTCCCTATATTCAATTACGGTCCTTGATTGTGTTCTACCTCATGCAGATTCTGAAGATGAACATGAAGATTGACCGTGCCCTAAGACTTCTACTGATGTGATGTTCATGTGAAGGTAGTTGATCAATCTTAATTCATTTGGATGCTAAATTGGGAAAAAGATAAACAAGGATCACAATGATCAGTTTTTTATGAATTATATGGTATATATACAATACATGTACAATTTTAATCTATTAAAAAAAAGCGTATGTAATTGTTTATGTTCCTTTAACGCCATGAGAGTTTTTTGAGGACATTCATGCTTTATCTAAAATCAGAATCACTATCCCTTTCTTTTTAATCGCAAATATGTTTTCAATCATTGGTGTGAAATTCTACATGTATGCTAAGTTCTTTGTGAAATAACTTTCACATTGTGTTATTTTCTTGGCTATTTGAGCTCAGCTGATGAGGAGGAGTCTCTTCATTTACTTGTTTATGTTTGTTGTGCTTTTCTTTTGCAGAAAGGAAACAACCAAATGCTCTTATGAACTTGTCGATGAGCTGAGAAATTGATGCTTTGGCTCATGAAAGCTTGGGAGTAGTTGAAGGTAGGTTGAAGTAACTGCATTATGGAGCAGAAAGCTAATTGATCATTTGAAGTTAATTTAACTCACCATTTTCTGGTTATTGAAACTGGCTAAAGGACATTTTCGTTGTATTTCCTTTTTCTTTTTTGTAATTTTTTGGCACCAAGAATGTGCGTAATGACTTCTAATGTTAATATAGAAAGACTTGAAGTTGAGTTGATGTAAACTTATTCATGGAACTTCAGCAGCAGTTTCCAGTTGTGCTGGAAATCACATTTTATTCTTGCATGGTTTTAACAGAAACTCCATAGCGACAACAATAACAAACCCAGTGTGATCCCACAAGCAGAGGCGGATCCAGGAATTTAACTTTATGGGTTCAAGATTTAGACTCTAGGATATACCTCAAGGTACTATACAATAATAACCGAACGAAATACGAACAATGATATTTAATATATATGTAACAAGTACTGAACCATCTAACATAATATATATTCAATGAATATCACCATTATAATTGTACCCGACGGGTTGTCATGTTTTGAAAACGATCAATAATTGCATCATTAGGTACACTTTCAAATACTTCATCTTCTATATAACAAACTAAACAGTCATTCAAAAATTCATCACCAATTCTGCTACGCAAGTCATTTTTGATGTACTTCATTGAAGAAAAAGCTCTTAGCTCTTTCTACCGTTGCAGTAGCGACATGCAATATCAGACTTAACTTCACAAGCAAAAACACAAGTCTCCAAGTCTTGTACAAATCTGTTTCAACTAGTGTTTCTGAAAGATCTCCAAGTCCTTTCAAGTTAGAGAAATCATTGTCTTCTTCACAAAGAGAATATAGTTGTCAAGCTCGTAACTGAGATCTTCAAGCTTTGAACCACTAAACTCATGAGGATAAAGTGTAGCAAGTTTCATAGTTCTGTCTTTATCATAATTTGCAAAAGAATTATCCGGACTCAAACTAGCCATACCAAGAAGTAGATTACTATTCACCGCATCAAAACGACGGTTAAGCTCCGAAAGTTGCAAATCAATAACAGTATTAAAAACTCCGTCACGGAAATGATAAGCATATGTAACACTTGAACTCCTACGCTTTGGCTTTCCAAGATGATAGTTCTTATCCATTTCAGGGATCATAATATCATGCTTGGCACAAAATGAAGAGGCGCCATCTATCAAAGATTCCCATTTAGATTCTCTCATCACTTACAATTGCCTCTTGGCGAAACCAACAAGCTTCATAGCATTTACAATATCCTGATTTTTTCTTTGCAAAGCCATATTCGAATCATTTGTGATTGCTACTAATTTTAACATCAAATGCATCATATGCACAAACTCAAAAGATCTTATGTCATTCACTAGACTTTTTGCCACTGATCTCTCAAGATAATTTGCACCCTCACTTGCAAGAAACTCAAGTACATTAATGAATGACGAGAATAATGCAATAAAGTTACGCACTGTCTTAAAATGAGAACCCCATCGGGTATCACCTGGCCTTTAGAGTCCAAGATCTTGATTTAGTCCACTTCCTGTATGAACTTCACCAAGCACTTGTAGCTCCTCTAGTTTTTTTGCCCGATCCTCTCATAGCATATCCCTACGCTTAAAAGAACTTCCAACAATATTCAAGACATAAGCAACAATATCAAAAAATTGATCTACATCACAATATTTTTTTGCAACGGCTACAAGAGTCAATTGCAATTGATGGGCAAAGCAATGTATACAATATGCCGAAGGATTATCTTTCAGAATTAAAGTTTTAAGACCATTGATTTCTCCTTGCATGTTACTAGCTCCATCATAACCTTGTCCCCGTATTTGAGATGGACTCAATGAGTGCTCTAAAAGCAAATCATAGATTGCTTTTTGTAATGACGACGAAGTTATTTTTTTAACATGAACAATACTAAGGAATCACTCCATAAGTTTTTCCTCTTTGTTGACATACCGCAGAACAAGAGCCATTTGTTCCTTATGAGAGACGTCCTTAGATTCATCAACCAAAATTCCAAATTAATCTCCATTTAAATCTTCATCTATTGCTTTAATTATTTCTTTTGCACAAGCATTCACGATCTCTTTTTGGATATTTGGAGCAATCATCATGTTATTTTGTGGAGCACTTTGTAGCACAACTTTTTTCACTTCATCATCCCTATCTGCATACCATTGTAAGAGTTCTACAAAGTTTTCTCTTTTAGTAGAAGTTTCACCTTCATCGTGGCCCCGGAAAGACATTCCTTGTTTTAAAAGAAATCTTGCCACATCAATTGAAGCATTCAACCGAACTCGATAATCACTTTTAATTTTTTCAGACTGCTTGTCAAAAGAGGTTAGAATTGATTGTTCTTGATTAATTAAATCTTTCATCATCTTAAAACATCGATTGTGAAGACTATTCACCTCTCCAATATGTGCGTTAAGCCTTTCTGTAACTTTATTCCAAGCTCTAAAACTACTTTTTGTGAAAGAATCTTCAACTTTTCCATGTCCTCCATGCTCATTTTTAAACAAGTAACAACATAAGCAAAATGTTTCATCAACTTTAACATTATATTCTATGTCACGACCCATTTTCTGAACAAGTCGTGACCGACACCCGATCACTAAACATGACCGAGTGAACCATCTGCGCTTATCAAATCTATTATAACTTCAAACTTTATATGCAACAAAGGAAATACTTTAACCAAATACTTTTAATTAATTTAAATATCTAAAATAAACCAGCTCCAAAATTTATTCATAGTAACTACTGAAATATTGCAAAGTTATTATTTAAAACACCTAAATCTTAACCCACCGACTGTGTCTATGAAGCCTCTACTGATAAATTGACGCATTGTTCAGGACATGAGAGTTCCTGGCCAGTTCTCTAAGTAAACAAAGAAATAGCTAAATAATGATGACTCAAAGAAGTACTCTACGAACAAAAGCGGAGCTCACCAATAGCACTGGAAGTGAGAAAAGTCCTAACCCATAGCCTGCTCGCCTGCAAAACCGGTTCCTACGTTGTATCACAGACCAACGTAGGTTCCCAAAAGAGAACATCAGTACCATCCATTGTACTTAGTGAGTCTCAATGACAGGGGACGGAACTTTAATAAAATATACATTACGATCAAAGATTCTAAAGGCATGAAAACTTAAAGCTTCTAAGAACAATTCTAAAACAATTGCATAATAGCAGTTTATGAATATTCTAAAAGAAATTCTTTTCTTTTTCTTTCTTATAAAAAAATACTTCACTTTATACTTCGGGAGTTCCATCTATCCTGACTTATTTCTGTCTTAGTCACCGTGTGATCGATATGGGTTCGATCCCAAACTGATCGAATAGGCCCAATCCACGAGATGCCACTCGCTTTATGGTTCTCAGCGCTCATGTATCATACCTTAGCTTGGCTAAGTAAATTCTCATCAACGAGACCCTCGGCTCGTGTGCTCCCTACTCTGGCACAAGTAGTTTCAGGAAGTCAACGCCTTGGTCAGGACCCTCGGCCTGGACGATGACCCTTTCTCAGAATAGAGGATACTCCCAAAAATCTTTTCTTCCTAAAATTCCTTCTTGTAACTTTTCAAGTCTAAATCTTGTTTGAAAGTGATTTATCAATATTCATAATAATATTCTTGAGTGTATATATAACATAAGCATGAAATAAAACTACACAAAATATTTTTAAAAGTTCTATCTAACTCTTGAAACTTTAACATGTAAGATCATGTAATAAAGCATAAAATATAAAAAATAGACGCTTATACTTCTCGAGTAAAATACATATGCTTGAACTAGAATATACTTAGTCAACATTACTCATTCGTTCCAATTAAGCACATGATGACTCGTTAAAGTATTTTATCAAATACTTTGTGGGCATATTTTTGTGAGTATAACCACTTTAGTAAAGGGTTATATCCACTCACCTCAAAACTCCTTAAGCCAATACGTAGGCCCAGTCCAATTTATACCCGTCAAACAATTGATTCTACAACAACCAGTATATTTGAATTAATTTCAAAATTTCACACCTAAACATCGAACTTATTGTTAATACAGAGGAAGAAGGGAATTAACTTTTCCAATTCTTACCTATTACTACTGCAGGATAATTGACAAGTAGGAAATTTTATATATCTGAGTTCAAGAATAAGTGAGTTGTGAAGAACCCTTTAATTTTTCGAGCAATTTCTGGCTGCCTCTGTTCGTATCCGTGCATCTGTGTTTCTTATTCTAAGCCTTTTTTTTTGGGTTTTTTTCGAATAAGGCTTCTGCCCTTTTGCCCTTATGAATGAGAAATACGTCCTTCTCATTCCAAGGCTTTTCGAATAAGGCTTCTGCCCTTGTTTTGCCTTTTTTGTCTCATTTGCAAAGGATACTATTTTTGCTTTGTTTCAATATGGATGTTTTGACCGTGGAAAGATTTCCAACTTTATGGAAGGGACTTTCCTTCTTCTAGAGGCCTTAAAGTGAAAATTATCTATAATATAAGATATATTGTTTGAAGGTTATTTTTTTTTTTTTGGGGGGGGGGGGGAGAAGGGGGAGGGTTAACTAATAATTAATGATACCCAATTTTAAATATTATTGATATTAAAATTATCAATATTCCCCTAATTGTATATCCAATTCTTTATAAATAGAGAAGTAACTCAAAAATCAATCACATGGGTTTAAATCCGTAATAGAAGTATAATTTAAGATAAAAATAATTTAAATTATATATTTAGAGAATTTTGAAACTTCTACAGATTTGAGGAGTGTTACATTCTAACCATCCAGAGTATGAAGTGTTAAACCATTCAAGATTAAATTGACGTATAAATCCACCAAAATCTCTTTTTGAAAAACTGCAATTACGAGGTTGACAAGGTCCTTGTTGAATATAATATCTCCTCACTCGGTCACGTAAATTCGGAGGATACTCTGAAATTTGCTATCTTTCTGCGGGATCAGGTTCAAGATTCAAATTCAACATTTTCTCTTTGTTTGATCCTGCCGAAGGATTGATATTGTCATGAATAATTGGACTTGGAGAAGAACTCGACGTAGGAGGACTAGAACCAGAACCAGAACTTTAAGGAGTTGGAATAGCCTTGAAAACTTTCGTGATTATATCCACCCTCACTAAAAAGATCCTAAAAATCACAAAAAATAAATTACACTTCAAGGTGTAATTGAAACTTAATCTAACCAAATCGATATTTCAACAACTTCAGTACTTATGAAGTTAGAGTTAATATGATACAATATCTAATTTCTTCAGCATAACAAGAATGGAGTTATTCCCTAGGCCTAACTGTCATAGCATGTGTACTCATGAACTTTCTGTTTCAAATTCTTGGAGTGTCATCCAAAAGAAAAGTAAGATTAGTTTAGGAAAGGATTGACTAGTAATTAATATGATATAAAAAGTTAAATCTATCCTTAAAACTCAAATGTTGAAGCACAAAAAAAATCATAGCAGTTTTAGTTTATCACTAAAATTCACTATATGTGAGCTAAACATGAGTTTAACAGTTAAAATAAATGAATCCAAAAGAAAGTCTTTCATTAGTGAAGTAATAGAGTAAAACATTTGACCCGTTTCTTATATGGCACCGAAATGCAAGAACCAAGAACAACAGGGGCGAATCCTGTAACTTATAATTAATAAATATTATTGCATTATTATTGAGAAAGAGCAATAGAGGCATACCAGCAAAACTAAAGAAGAGGATTGATTGCAGTTTATGTCCAAGAAGAAGAGCCTTTGCTTTGATTCTTTTGAAACCCTAACTTTAAAAAATTTGAGAACCGATGAACCTTCTGAAAAGTGGAAGGTTTTGATATCTTAAAGTTTTGTGAAGACCAATTTTTTTATAATTATTAAAAAGCCCCACAAGTTAATGAAGTACACATCAAAGAATAAAATTAATTAGGTGGATCCTCATCTTTTAAGGATAAGAAATAGACCTCTTTAAATGGGAAGGTGCAAAAATCAGCAAAGGGCCAAATATACCCATCTACTTTCGAAAATGGTCTAACAATACCCCTCGTTATACTATTGGGTTATCTATACCTCTGCAGTCATACTTTGGGTTCAAATATACCCCCATTTAAACGGAGAGACATGTGTCATCGTCCTGTTGGTCAATTTTAAATATCTCCTAATTAATTAAAAAGACCAATTATCCATACCCGAAAAATAATTTTTTTTATTGTAAAAACTGAAAAAAACTAAAAAAAATATTTTTACTAAAAAATGAAAAAAACAAAAATATTTTTTTTCCGTTTTTACAAAAAATTGCTTTAAAAAACTAAAAAATATTTTCTAAAACAATATTTTTGTAAAAACTGGAAAAAAAAACTGAAAAGCAATTTTCTAAAGCAATTAAAAACTGAAAAAAGCTGAAATATTTTTAACTAAAAAAAAAAAAAATTATTTTTTCAGTTTTTACAAAAACACTACTTTAGAAATTTGCTTTTTAATTTTTTTTTCAGTTTTTATAAAAATATTGTTTTAGAAAATATTTTTCATCTTTTTTTAAAGCAGTTCTTTTTGTAAAAATTGGGAAAAAAAATATTTTCGTTTTTTTAAAAAAGTTTTTAGTAAAAAAAGTTTCAGTTTTTACAAAAAATATTGCTTTAGAAAATTGATTTTCAGTTTTTTCAAAAACATTGTTTTAGAAAATATTTTTCAGTTTTTTTTTTTTTTTTTTTACTTTTTAGTAAAAATAATTTCAGTTTTTTTCCAGTTTTTACAAAAAATAATTGCTTTAAAAAATTGTTTTTTGGGTATGATTAATGGGTCTTTTTAATTAATTAGAAAATATTTAGAATTGACCAACATGACGATGACACGTGTCCCTCCGTTTAAATGAGGGTATATTTGAATCCAAAGTATGACTGCAGGGGTATAGATAACCCAATAGTATAACGAGAGGTATTCTTAGACCATTTTCGAAAGTAGAGGGTTATATTTGCCCTTTTGCCATTTTTTGCACCTTCCCATTTAAAGAGGTCTGTTTCTTATCCTTAAAAGACGAGGACCCACCTAATTAATTTTATTCTTTAATGTGTACTTCATTAACTTATGGACTTTTTAATAATTATAAAAAAGTTGGTCTTCACAAAGCTTTAAACAGGAACAAACAAAGAAGTCAAACAGAGATTCGAACTCTAATCTTCCCTGTAAGGAGCAGTACTTTGCCCATCAATTTTACCACTGAACCCACAACCTCATTTAGTCTATGGGTTCAAACACTAATATATGATCATATTTCAGTAATTTTGCACAGTATATTCTCGGGTTCTGTCGAAAGTTATGGGTTCAATTGAACCCGTATCTATAGCGCTAGATCCGCCCCTACCCACAAGTAAGGTCTGTGGAAGGTAGTGTGCGCGCAGTAAACCTTGTGAAGGTAGAAAGACTGTTTTCGATAAACCCTCAACTCTGAAAAAACATAATCATAACATTATTGAACGGAAATTCCATCTGCATTATAAATCCCTGCAGGTAGGCGTGATTCCCCTTTAATGAACCTTATGCAGCGTGAATCTGGATTAGTCGGAGTGGGTATTGGATATAAGATGGTTATACCAATAACAACTATGTTTCAGTCACAAATAAGTTAGAGATAGTTGTACCAAAAAAATAAATTTAATTGTTCGGTTTCCCTTTCAGCTTTTCCTTCAAATCTCATACTTCTAAACTCTTTAAATAGATTGAACGATCGTGATTTAGCCTTCACTTAAAATTGACCTGAAAAAAAAAAGAGAGGAGTAAAGGTAACAAATTACAAAATAGTGTTTTTAATTAAGATCGAAGATATGCTACCAGATTAGCTACCTCCTCTAATTCTAGGTAATGTAGGATAAATGGCTAAAATGTTAGTAAAAGATTTTTGGAAAATAATACAAGATGGAAGAAAAAAAGAACTTGTTTTGAGCAACAAACGTGAATGTTTTTGTTAAATAGCCTCAATAATCAAAATTCATCACTAAAATTGTGAAGCCATCCATTTCCAAACCATTGACTGATATTCGTTGTCTGATCGCTTGTTTGGATGATCAGTATCGTGTTGTCACTTTAAATATAATATTTATTTATTTTGATTGTTACTTAAATTTTATTGTATCGTATCGTTAAATCCATCATTACGTAACGACGAAAAGTGTCACTTCATGGAATGACCAATTTGATGTGGCCGCGTTGTGACCCTATTTTTTTCTCTTATCTTGTGGAATGACCCAATACTATTATTAAATGATCATATTTTATCTTTTATCCTATATTTTTATAAAATAATTCTACGTCGTACTTTACTTTTTCTTTATAATAGTATTACAAGTTCATTCTTCATATTATTGGTGTATGATATCATAATTCTACCTTTTTTTTTAATGATAAATTTGAAATATTTGCTTGGTTTCTACTACACACGTGTTAACTCAAATGGTAAAATATTCCTAAAAGAATAAAAAAAAAGTTCCAACTATGCTCATGTACTATTTCAAATTGATCAATTTTGTCATCTCTTAAACTTTTGGTTCATTCTGGTAGTAGCAAATTGTCTCATATCTAGCCTTGCTATTGCCCATTAATGTAAAAAATGTATCTAAATTAATTGCGTGACTTTTAATTATAGTGTAAAATTACTCTTCGATTGAAATTTCAAAACAAAACTTTTACCTTAAGGCAAAAATAAATATTACGCCAAAATAACAAAGGAAAAATTTGCTCAATTTGAACTAGTTCAAGAACAAATTTAACCATTTTTCCTGAAATCTAATCACACTCTTCTCCGTTTTTGTTTGCGTTACACCATTATTTCCAACTTTCAGAAAAGCATGAAAAAAGAAAAAGAAAAAAAATTGTCAAAATAAAATTCCTAATTACAATTAAAACAAAAATTAAAAGGTAAAAAAAAAGGTTTAAAAGAATAAGACCAGCATTCTCACTCAACCTTGAATTTTCTGCAAGAAACATCTTCTTCTTCTTCCCCTCCAACTTTTTTCCGGCGGAATCTACTTGTAAGTTCCTTATTCTTCTCTTGCGCTTTCTTATTACACAAAAAACCCTAATCCCTTTTCCCAATTAAATTGTGTTCTAAACTTGCAAATTACAATTCTTTCACTGTATAAAGAAAGCCTCAACTTCAAATTTGCATAGTCAATTTTGTCCCTTTTTTACAAGATTATACATATTTATTTGATTCCCGTGTGATTTCCTGAAAAAAGGGTTAATAGATTTAGTATCTATCTTTACATTTTGAGTTTCTTTTAGTACTTTGGAAGAGACAGATCCAACACACACACACACACACCCCTTTATTTTTTGCATATGTATACAAAGTTAGAGCTGAAAGCAGTAGGTTCCATTGAATGACTTAGTTCCACCTCTTTACTTGGGGCGAAAGCGGAAAAAAATAATTATTTTCTGAACTAGAAAGGAGATTTTTTGACACATTTTTTTTGTGTGAATGGTACTTGTAAATATGCTAAATGTAGCTGCTCATCATCTTTATTTAGGGGAAGAGTCTGATTCAAAAGCGTCTGTGATAGATCACGTCGAACCGAAGCATTTAAGAAAGAAGCTGATAACTTTTGGTTTAAGCACGCAATCACTTTGAGACAAGGGCAGAGCTAGTTTGTGCCAAGGGGGTTCAATTGAATCCCCTTCGCGGGAAAATTGTATTGCGTAACTAGGAAAATAAACTCTTATGAATATCTATAAACAGTTGAATCTCTTTGACATAAGGAAAGACTCTATTTTAATGGCAAAGGGGATTCAAAAATTGCTTCAGGTAACACGTTTAAATCCTAAGCGCGACATTTTAGTATATTTTGAACCCCTTTGTTGGAATTTCTAGCTCCGCCACTGCTTTGAGACTTTTGTCAAACAAATGGGTGCTTGGTATGGATGATGACTAACAATTTATATGTGTTCTCTTTGTTGTTGCTGTGAATCAATGAATTATCTTTGTTTCTTTCAAGAAAATGCAACCATTTTATTATCCAGATCACTAATTTCAAGGTCTGGCGTTTGAATCCAGACCAGTTAACTATGCTTTTACCTAAATTCTATTCACTCCCTCGACATTGGCCCTTGACTCTTGAGTTAAAGTTACTATGTTAGATAATTTCTATTTAATACCTGTAATAGCTAATAATCCTTTTGTCTACCAAGAACACTAGTTATACGAGAACCCTCATGAGGATTACAAAGTAGAGGAGTAATGCACAAATAACAGAAGCAGTTTTACCCTTTCATTATCGGTGAAGGTTCACCCTTCTGTTTTCTCCTATCCTTAATAACAAGGAGTTTCACATTTTATGGGTATGACCCTGTTGATTTATGGGGTACTCTCTGTTATCTGATTAAAAAAATACATTCTTCTCAAAAAGGACCAAAATCTTAGCAAGTTTATTTTGGTTGTATGAGCTAGTCACTGCTTATGGCAATTTAAAGCAAGTGTGGATGTCATGTCATTTATAGGGATGCAAAAAACTGAGTCTGGAACTTTCTTTAATAAGGAATCCAAGTCTGGAACTAGAATCGATGATTTTATTGTCTTCAGTCAACTATTCCAGTCAGTGACCATTTCTACGGAAGATTAGCAGTCTTTTGTAGAAAACTGGAGTATCTTTTCCTGTAGGTTCTCTCTTTCTGGTGTAGTGCTTGAATACTGTGTTTGTTCCCACATCTTTTAGATATTCAATAACTTTTCTATTCCATCCAGTGACCAGTTTGCATAAAATGTGGAAATCTGCTGCTTTCCTTTTTCCGGTTCTCTTTTCTTCTTTTTCTATATCTTCTGCTGGATGTTGACGAACGAAAATAATTTTGTGGTTCAAGCTTATCGAAGTTGAGTTTAGTGCTTGAGGAATCTGGATTTAGCTCACTTCAAACTTCTTGAACATATTCTTGGGTTAAGTTGAGTTTGAAAATAAGCTTTAATGCAACTGTTTCATGCTAAAATACGGGAAGGTGAGCCAAAACATCTATCATTTTCTTGCTCACGTTGGTTGCATTCTTCATGCTAGTTTTATTTAGCTTCCTGTCAAGTTTACACTTGCCATGGAGCTGTTTATCTTTTCCTTTTCTTATGTCATGCTGATTCAGGAGAGGAGCCTTGGCATAACTAGTAAAGTTGCCTCAATGTGACCAGGAGGTCACAGGTTCGAGCCGTGGAAACAACCTCTTGCAGAAATGCAGGGTAAGGCTGCGTACAATAGACCCTTGTGGTCCGGCCCTTCCCTGGATCCCACGCATAGCGGGAGCTTACTGCACCGGCTGCCCTTTATGTCATGCTGATTCAGCTTTTGGTCTCATAAAACAGTTTCTTTTTACTTCTCATTTTCATATTATTGTTTTGTTAATATTTTCTTCTATGTCTTCACTTATTCATTTTTTTCTTCCGGAAAGGTGTTTCTTTTTTCTTATGGAAGTACTTTAGAATCATATGCTAGTAAAAAGTACTTGATTATCCAAACACATTCTTTAAAATTGTTGACTTCATGTTGCCAATCAATCAGTTGGGACTCCTCTTGACATTAGGAAAGTTGATTGCCACTGATCAAGTGTTATTTAAGATGGACAAATATTTGTAGAGTTTTCTTTCTTGGGTTATTTTCTCCGGTAGTTATCGTAGTCATTAAGCTACTCCCCAGTCTAGTCCATGTGGGCCAGCTAGCCTCCTCTTTTTAAATACAATTATTGCGGAGTAGTAATTTGGATGAGGACATCTACAAACCATAGTATTGAAGTGAATTTCCGCAGCTTGTTAAGTAACCAGGTCTTGTTTTTTCTTCCAGAATGTGGTCTTGTTCGTTTCTTTCTTTTTTATCTTTTTTCAAGTTCATATTTTCAATGATGTTGGCGAACAAGATAATAAAGATGGCTGGATGCTATAAGCAACTCATTTGGAGAGATGTCATTGATCACCTCAAAATTTGGAATCAATCTGAGTTAGAATACATGATAGCATTGCTAACATACCTCCTAAAACTGAGATTTGGATTGTCTTGCCAATTTGGTGATCTCCAATTGTAGTTGTGTTATGATCTCGATTGTTTATGCTTGGTCTTTCAATTTTTTACACTGACCTTATGTCGTAGAGCTTTGTGGCAATTACTCTCTAGCTTTTGCCCTTCTTGCTATAAGAACCTAGGCTTGATAGATGGACTCGCTTCATTTGTTGATCTCCAAATTTTGTCGAAAGGCTATGTTCTTTAGCTCTTTGACTTGGTGATGTGCTTTGGCAATTGAATTTATTTATAGCCTATCAATCATGAGATATGTGTCCATAGGTGACAAATACATATTTTGTTGAATATTTGCAGGTTATAGGTTGACCAAAGGGAGATGGAAGACATACTAACGGAAATCCCTCCACCTTCAAGGTTCTTTTTGGAAGATCTGAACAACTTTTGTCCACCGTCTCCTCCTCTTCCCTCTCCATTCCTGTTGTTTTCAACTCCTAACCAGGAGAAATATTCTCGCCCTTCTCTCCTCATCATTGCCATGTCTTCTCCATCGCTTCAAGTTTTTCATCATGTGTCCTCCAAAACCCTTGTCGGAACTCTTATCCTTCCTGAAATCCCATTCTCTGGCAATTCAGTCGAGCCCTCTCTTAAAGACAAATCGTGCAATATATATGCCCTGAATGAAGCTGATAACTTGATTATGATTGTGTCCGTACAATATCCAGTTACTGCAGAGAGATCTCATGCAGTGGCAAAGCTACTGATTGGAGAACAGATTATTCCAGAAAAGGTCTTAATCCTGGACTCCATTCGTAGTAATAACTTTCGAGGAAAACTTTCACCTGATGAAGCGTTTGCATTTAAGCTGGAATCATCTGCAGAGAGAAAAGCAAAGGCTGATGGACGTCAAGATTCACCACTGGTAAAATGCACAGACTATCTTCCATCAGGAAGCGTTGTCGATGGCTTGGCAGCTGCTTTATTGAGCCGATGTCAGTTAAATAAGATCCGAGGAACACTGTGTGTTTCATGGCCTGAAGCTGGTATTTCAGTTATATCACTTGTTAAATCTCTACTGCTCAAGGATGTCCTGTCCGGCGTGAATCATATTAACGTTGGGGATCTTGAGGAGGAATTCCTAAAATTAGGTAGGAATAAGGATTTCCTTCTTGATTCTGAACTCTATACATGAAATGATGTCTTTGATTTAAAACAAATGGAACTTTTTCTGTTTCCAGCATCACCTTGTTCCTCCTTTTTGTTAGATTTCAATGTAGTTTGAACAAAGCAATATTTTCTTCATCTCCTGGATTACCAACTTGAACATGGTTCACCATGTCAAATTAATATTATGTTCTCCAGCTATTTGGAGTGTGATTTTCTCGGTGTTTGTATAATTTTGTTTGAAGAATTAATCCAAATAGCAGCCTACCTAACCGCTTAAACTAAAAATAGACGGTGGAGGTATAGTGTATGCATAATTTATGTATTATATGTATATAATGAATATATAATCTATGTATATGACTAGAGAAAATAAACAATAAATATGACCGGCTATTTGTGTAAAGATCGAAAAAATGCTAGTGAAACACAAACAGTAAAAATAGCACGGGCTAGTCAGTTTTCGGACTGGTAATTCAAAAATAGCCACTATTTTATTGCAACACGGACCGGTCCAGCATAATATACTGGAGATTGGAGCACCTGTGTATGAGCTTCCAGCATATTATATTGGATCGATATATTATACTAGAACTCCAGTATATTATGCTGGAATATTTTTCGGATTTTGAACAATGTTTTCGTTTAGATTTATCTTTACTAGAAAAGTGATTAAATTTCAATTACTTTTGAAATTGTGATTATTTTTTAATTACCACTTATAAATCTAACTATTTTTGAATTTTCCCCGCACAAACACCTATGCAGGTAACATTTTCATGCTATTAAAGTAACGGAATGCAAATCGAGCAGGTTACATCGTGAAATAGGGATAAATGCAGCTTGTAATGTTTTTGTACAACCTTTTCTTTTATTATGGTAGTGTTCGGACATTCGGTTCAGTTTGTTCATACTTAAGCTTAGAGACGAAGTCAGAATTTTAAATTTATGGGTTTGAAATTCTAATCGTTTTAAACTATTTAATTCTAAATTAATAATTTACATATATTTAATGAATTTTTAAGACTAGTGAGTGCTCAATTAATAATTTACGTATATTTAATGAATTTTTAAGACACATATAGAGTTCGAACCAAAGCTACTGAGTTCGATCAAATCTGTTCCCGACACTCTAGCTCTGACCCTGCTTAATTTATTTCATCAAAGGTAACTCTATTTATCAAGAGTAAATTTTTTTTCTTTTTTCAAAATATGCAACTTTCGCTTAACATTTCTAATGGTATGTTTTTTTTAATAAATATAAAAGAACATTATAGAAACAATAAAAGCATAACGGAAGAACAGATGGAATCTGTTAGTAGACATGCTATAAGTGATATATACTGAATGCGATTTATAAGTCTTATATGTCGTGGCTGTATTTGCATAATGCAATTTAAAATGATTTATAAGTTGCATTTGCCAAAAAATGATTTATAAGTTGTATTCATTGAATACGATTTATATTTGCAAAAACACCCCAATTTTGTTTTTCATTCTCGATTCGTTTGGAGCATTATCTGTTGCATACAATTTTTTTCTTCAAAATTGTAGCTCTTCATTTACATTTTCTGATAAAGAATGACAAGAAGTTTCTCCTATACAGATAATGAGTTATTTTTCAATATAACAAAGCACATATTTATCAATTACTTAAACAAATTCAACTGATAAAACATTGTTGAGTCGACACATGCATTAGTGAATTTCTGCATTTTTTAAAGAACATTAGTGAATTTCTATATTTCTAAATGAATTGACAATCATGATTATAATGTTTACCATCAAAGGAGAACTTTTTTTAGTTTTAATCATTCTAGAGAATATAAATGAAGAGTAAAATTTTGGAATTTTTTAAGGGAAAAGGGTGAAATATACCTCTCTACTTTCATATATTGTCTACATTTAATATCTGTTATACTATTGAGCCAAATTTACCCCTATCGTTATATTATCGGGCCAAAAATACCACTACAATCAACAAACTTTTAAAAATATCCCTTGATCTGTTAAGTAATCCAAAATCTCTCAAATTCCTTTTATTTAAATCACTTGTTGTTCTTCTTGGTCCACTATTTTTAAAATAATTGGCATTTACCTACTTTCTGAATTAGAGAAAAAAATATATTAAATAATACAACCGAATAAATAAAGTATAGTAAATTGAAAAATCTAAATTAGGTAGCTTTTCTAAATTCTAAAAGTATTTACAACATCGCAATTTTAATGAATTCGTTGCACCAAATATATGAAAACTTTGCAAGTATTAGTAATTGAAGTTGAAATTCCTCGTATACTTTACATTGTCTAATTCAACTTTGCTTTAATTAAATGCCTACACATTTTGCACTCTTAAGTTAGTCGATCGAACTCTATACTAACCGGGCAATGGCAAAATATATTTGAATATACATGTACATACATGATGATCAGCTGCACATAATACACAATAAATAGACCAACTAAATTCTACGGTGTGTATATGATTGAAAAATAAATAAAATTTTAAATCAATTTTATTTATTACAAAAAGAGAAATGGGTGCATTGGTAATAAAAATTAATTATGAATAATTTGTATAGTCTAGTAACTTTAGCATTCACATCAATAGGTATTTTTTATAATTAAAATAATGGACCAAAAAGAACAACAAATAATTTAAATAAAAGGAATTTGAAAGATTTTGAATTACTTAACAATTCAAGGAGTATTTTTAAAAGTTTGTTGATTGTAGGAGTAAATTTAGTCCGATAATATAATGGAAGTTAAATGCAGATAATATATGAAAGTAGAGTCGTATATTTGACCCTTTTTCCTTTTTTAAATATATAAATAAACGGAAATGGAAAAAACAGACTCATATTACGTTTGTCGAATGCGATAATCGTTTTTGCGCATTGCCTGTCCAATCTGCAAATATCCCAAACCCAAAGGATTAAGGAACAAACTCCATACTCTTTAAAAAATTACAAAACACAGCCACAGTATACCTCAGTACTAGTATTTCACTTCCAAAACCCTCCCACCAAAAACACAAAGCAGAAGCAACAATGGAGGGCGTCTCGTACCAGAGATTCCCAAGGATCAAAATACGCGAAGTTAAAGACGACTATATGAAATTCGAACTGCGCGACACCGATGCCAGCATAGCCAACGCGCTTCGGCGCGTGATGATAGCAGAAGTCCCAACAATCGCCATTGACCTCGTTGAAATCGAGGTCAATTCCTCGGTCCTCAACGACGAGTTCATATCTCATCGGCTCGGACTCATCCCGCTCACTAGCGAGCGCGCCATGAGCATGCGTTTCTCGCGTGACTGTGACGCGTGTGACGGTGACGGACAGTGCGAGTATTGTTCCGTTGAGTTTTACCTCCGTGTGAAGTGCCTTAGTGACCAGACGCTCGATGTTACTAGCAAGGATTTGCTGAGTTCGGATCATACTGTTGTTCCTGTCGATTATTCCGATGCTTCCTCCGGTTTTGATAATTCTACCAATAAGTGAGTTTTTTCTTTTCTTTGCTGGTTTATGGACTCTAACTAGTTTGGAACTGAAGCATTATTGCTGTTCTTCTTGTAAATAAGCCTACTTAAAATATGGGATTTGTAATTGTTGAAAAGAAGACAGGTTATCTGCTACAGCAGGTAAATATACTTAACTCTGATACAATTTAGGTGCTTTATATAGAGTTTAAGTTTTTATGGACTGAACTAGGTCGCTTAATAGGTAATTACAGGTCAATTTCTTGGTAAGCATTAATTGGTAATTGATAAAAATGGATTAATATGTTATCACAGGTTAAAGTCATAGGTTATAGTTCCCTGTAAGTGTAAAAAATCTTTAATAGTGTCAAAGTACATAACTTGTATCTTTTCTTTGTATATATAGGCATTAAGCTTCTCAGGCTATGATAAATCTTCGAACAAGTTACTATTTTCTTGCGCCTTTTCAAAAAAAAGTTACTACTAGTATTTCTTACTCGTTTAGCCTAAAGTAGTTTAGGTTGACACATTGTTTTTGTTGCTATTGTTGGTGTTATTGTGTTGAATATTTTTATGCATGTGGGTGTTTTTATGTATATCGGCATTAAGCTTCGCCGGATTATGATAACTCCTCCAGTGAGTTAATCTTTTTTGCCCGCCTAGCTGACTTTGACTAGTTTGGGATTGAGGCGATATTGTTGCTTTTGCTGTTGTGTTGTTGTCTTCTTCTCAAATATCTTTGTGCATGTAGGTCTTAAGAGCTCAATAGCAATACACTCTCTGTTTCACTTTAGGTGTCGTAAGTTGTATTTAACCTTAACCCAGTTATAGAGAGGTTTTTTAGTTTATTTTTTCAGAAATTGGGAAATGATATGTGGTACTTGTCAAAGTAGGGTCGAGATGCTTTCGAATGATTAAAGCTTTGGTTGCATAGGATGTAGTACATTTTTTGAATAATTCGATGGTGAAAAATTATAGGAGTAGTTAAGTTGAGACAGAGGAGTAGTAAAGTTGCCATTTTTGGACTTGGAATGAGTGATTTGTTGATATTTATTTTTTGGTGTCTTTGAATATCTGGGTATTTTGCCAACAAGGAATTACATCATTCTGCTGTGGGATAGTTATTTTCATGAGGTGATCTTTTTTGATAGAGACTGCAGACTGATGTTGGTGTTTATGAGAAATTTTGTGCAGTCCAGTTTGGCTGAGGGATTACAAAGGGGTCACTTGATTCTGGTTTCCAGTTGGTGAATCTGTTTTCTTTTTCTTTTTTTGGGCAGATGCACATTAAAGTGCCTTTGATATTTCATTCTATGGAGTGCAGGAGATTTCCTAAAATTTTGTTGAAGGATCGTCCTGTGTATTTAGAAGAAAGAAATCAGATATCAATCAAGCTCCCAATGAACTTAGTAAATAGTTTCTTTCTCGAAAGGATAATAGTTTTGAAGGTAGTGTTAATTAGAGAGTGTCACATGAAGAAGGATAGTAGTTTATCTTACTCAGACTTATCTCTGGTCACTGGTATTATGAGGAAATAATGTTCTTTCTAATATGCTTATTTTGGAGATCAATTGTGCTGAATGTCTTGGTTTGTACATGCTAACTATCTAGATAGGATATTTACTGTCTTGCTTTATTTTATGCAGGGGAATCATAATTGTGAAGCTACGACGTGGGCAGGAGTTAAGGCTAAGAGCAATAGCACGAAAAGGAATTGCCAAAGATCATGCGAAAT